AGTAAAAACAGAAATACAGGACCTGGGTATGAAAATTACACTGTTATGCCACCTAATTTTGACAAATTTGCAAAAACATAAGATGGGAGAAAAGACAGCCTCTTCAACAAATGTTGCTGGGAAAACTGGATATCTGCATATCCATGTTTGTGACCCTGTACAAGTACCAACTCAAAGTGGATTATGGACCTTAATATCAGACCTGAAACCTTGAAGCCTAGTTACAGGAAAAAAGCAGGGAATATACTGGAACCAACACAATAGGAAGGCTTCCTCAGTAGAACATAAGCGGCTCAACAACTAAGAGAAAGAATCTACAAATGGGACTACATGAAATTAAAAATCTGCACAACAAAGAAATGGTTTCTAAATTGAAAGGACCACCCACAGAATGGGAAAAAAATCTTTGCTAATATACCTCAGACTGGGATTGATAATCACAATACAAGGGAGCTCAAAAAACTAAGCTCCATCAATATCAAATGACCCAATAAAGAAATAGGAAACTGAAATGAACAAACCTTTCTTCAAAAGAATGAAATCCAAATGGTTTTTAAAAAAACATGAAAAAAATGTCACTATCCCTGGCATAAAGGAAAACGCAAATCAAAACCACAACTAAAATTCCAGCCTCACCCTTTTAGAATGGCTACCATCAAAGACCACCACCAACGATATTGGTGAGGAATTTAATGGGAAAAAGGAACCCTCAATTGCACTGCTGTGGGAATGTAAGCCAGTGCACTACTATGAAACAGTATGGAGGATTCTTAAAAACTAGCAAATTAAAATCTGCCCATACAATCCAGCAATACCACTCTACGGGATATACCCAAAGGACTGTGACTCAGGTTTACTACAAGGGCACCTCACAACCTGTTTACTGCAGCACTTATTCACAATAGCTAGGGTATGTAAAAACAGCCAAGGTGCATTCACTAACAGACAAACGAATCAATAAATGTGGTAATTTTATCACAATGGAATTTTACTCGCACAAAAGAAGAATGAAATTTAGTCATTGGCATGTAAATGGATTGAACCAGAGGAACATCATCTTAAATGAAGTTTAATGCAAGCTCAGAAAGCCAAAAAGCCACAGGTTCTCCTCAAATGCAGACTGTAAGACCTAAAACAATGCAGAAACTATTTTTGGAACATGGTTCTCACTAGAGGAGGCCAATGCAAAGGAAGGATAGGGAAAAGGGAAGGAACCAAAAATTCCGAATGAAGTAGATTTGCTCAATGTACAGGAATGATTATAGGAATTTTAAACTGGCCAGGGCCACCATGGGAAGTGTACTAGATAGGAATGAAGAGGATTGGAAGAGGTGAATCAATTGGAGCTGTAATAAATATATGCATAAGAACAACACAAGGAAACTCCCTATGATAGCTTATGTTTATCTCAAAACTAGCAAAATGTCATGTTTGTCTTTTTAATTTTTTTGAATGTTTTTTCTTCTAACAAAAATTGAACAGGTCTGTCGTGGGGTAGCACAATTAAGGAGGGGGGAGGTGGTGGGGGAAGGGGTAGGAGGATGAATATGGGTACAAACAATGTGTTAATTGTATGGTAAATGCAAAAATGATTACCTGTTGGAAACTGTTCCAGGAATCAGGGAAGGGGGATGGAGGAGAAGAAGTGGAGGAGTGAATTCAAAGTTTGATATCTTTGATACATTGTAAAGAAACCCTTCATTAAAATGCTACAATGTACCCATACCCAGCACAACAATAAAAAAATAAGTTAACAGAAATTAAAATTAATTTCTATCTCAAACTAACATTAAATTGAAACCAAATCCAAATATTTAAGGATTTTCAGAGTGTTGAAGACAATTTTTTTAATATTTTATCATAAATATGGACATAATATTAAATATATAGAACAAGTGGCTTTTTAAAAAATCAAAATTCCCAAGGAATGGCAGCCAAAATGATGGATCTTTAGGAATGAAGTAAAGGCTCACAAACACAAGAAAATTGAAATGACTTCATAAATTTCAATCAGACCATAATAGAATAAAAACCAGCAAATCAATAGTGAAGAAAAATTACACAAAATAGTAAACATGGAAAATATACAATTCATTTTGGAATGATTAGTGGAATCACTGAAAGAAATAATGATAACGAAGTCAGTTATTAGAAACCCGTGTTTGATTCAAAGTTTTCACTTTTTTGGTAATAAAGGGAAAGGAGTGATTCTATTACATTTAAAAAATGAGAGTGAATGTCAAATTAATAACCCTAATGATACACCAAAGCTTTTTTAGATAAAACAAGAACAAGCCAAACCAAAAGTAGTAACAATGGATAGAAATAATAAATTATCATGGCAGAAAATTAATAAGGAGACCCAAAGAACAATACAGAATGAATAAAGCAACAATTTGGCTCTTAAAAGCATAAACAGGGGATTTTTGTAGTAGTTCTGTAATGGCAAGATGGTTGTTTTATGATTCCAGTGGGAGCCTCCAAGAGAAAATATGACTTTCAATTTGTAGAAATTTCAGGAACCCAGGTCAGTTTATCTCTAGAGCAGCAGGTATCCTGTTGTCCACCCAAACAGAAGAGGAAGATCCACATGCTTTCTTCAAATCTTTTACCACGAAAATAAATACATATTAATCTTTCAACCTGAGACAAGGTTTTACAAACAATTTGAGCTAAAATTGTTCATGAAGTATTTTCCCCCAACACTGGTCATACAAGATTCACATATAAAATCTTGCATTAGGTATAGTAAATGGTTATCATTGAACCAATATCAAATTATTTATCAATTAATCAGTGCATATGAAAATATAAATGAATTTAAAGAAAGCATTAGCAGAATAACAAAAAGCAAAATGTTATCATTTCATTGAATATGCAGTTTCTGGAGTAGAAAATTGAAGATAATCAATGAACAGTGTTAAAACTCTTGTGCAAAATAAAGGGCTATTGTAAAACAATCGAGATTCTGGGTAACCTGTAAAGGAAAAGAAGAGACAATAAAAAGAAGGTACTGAAAGGAGATTCAAACACAGGTTATTTTTACCAATGATTTAAAGTCTAAGATGGTTAAATTGAGTATTTCCCTTTATGTAATTTAAAAATGTGATCATCTAAGCATGTGCAACATTTATGGGCACCATGAATACTTATATACACAAATTATATTTACTTTGCATATGTTATTTATGTTTGCATATTATTTTCAATAATTTAGAAAGACCAAAGTAAATGTCCATTCAAAAAGTAAAGTATTCCTCAAGTAGTGCATAGGTCTTGGATTTTTACTTCCATGCAGTCACTTTGAATTCCATTTCCGCAGAATCTGGTAGCTTAATGTTCAACAGAGGCTAGTTACTAAACCTATATAGTACATTTGAATTTCCTCTTTATTATCAACTGCTGGAGTTAAAAAGATAATGAAACACAAAAATATTCACAATAATGAATTTACAAAATAAAGTTAAGTACTTTTTCTTGAGCAGAGGCAGCCTGAAGGACTTAATAAAACAAAAGCTTGCCATTTACTACAGAATCATCCATGGAGTTAGTTAAAAAAGGTACTTTTGTTTTTCCTATTTTTAAATAAAAGTACAGTTGGATTATTGCTATACTTTGCCTAGACTTCTAACATCTGCTTATTTCTTGTTCAGACCAAATCCGTGAGGTAGAACCCCATAAAGTCATGTCCCTAGCTACCATCACTCCCAAAGACAGCTAACAAAGTGGATATTGAATAAAAAAATTATCAACAGGTGTGGAGAATGTGGAGAAAGTAAAGTGGAGAAAAGTTGATCAAAGAGTTTTAAGTTTCTCAAGTGAAATAACCTCTGGTGTTCTATTGCCTATTAGGATATATGTATATATGTATACATATATATGTATATGTATATGTATGGATATATGTATATATGTATACATATATATGTATATGTATTATATATATATATGTAAAATTACAATGTACTGGCTATTTTTTTAAGATTGAAGGAAAGGTTTTGAGGGTTTTCACTATGAAGAAATAATAACTATTAGAGAAAATAGACATGCATACCTTTATTTGAATGCCGGAATAGCAAAGGTCCTTGACCTGAAAGGACTCAGGAAAGGAATGAACAGATGAGACACATGAAAGGATTCACTCACTCAGGAAGGGAATGACAAGACACATGACCAGAAGGCTGGTGATCAACTGGCAAAATTTTATTTTTCTCAGAAAGATTTATACAAAAGAGGAAAAGCCTTAAACATCAAAAACACTCTGACCTAGTTATAACCTTTCTGTTTTTGCCACCCTATATTCTTACTGCCAGTGTCCTTGATTAAGTATAAACTTCTTTTCAGTCAAGGGAAACCATTTAGTGTTCCTTCCCACCATGATATAGAGACATGATGCACCTGCAGATTCTGACCTTGTTGGAATACTTCTAAGCCACAGTGACCTTATCAGACTATGGCTTTTGGTTCCCACACTTGAACATTACACAGCTTACACATGTATGGAAATATTACTTTGTAATCTAAAAACATGTAAAAATCTCTACATGCCAATTTAAAAATAAATGATTAAAGCAATATAAAAAACTAGATTTCTAGTTAAGGTTACTCACAAATATAAATTACAAGTATTAAAAATGTAAGCACAAAAATAATATGATAAGATTACCAGAGGAACTTTTTAGGAGGATTCTCAAGAAAGGATACAAATTTTGGCATAGTAGAACATAAAACTACCCAGTAAAAAAGACTGAAATACAAAAGAGTATAAAAATTTTAATGGTTCCCAAGACATGGTATTATGTGAAAATGAAAATAGTGCAGGTATGTTTATGAACCCATTCCTAAGGCTCTCAAGATCAATAAGACAATAGGAGAAAAAAACTACCTCTGAGGCGAAATGCAAGCTGAGAAAAGAGTGACACTGAAGATTCACTAAGAAGCAGAAGTTCAGAGAAAGACTGAAAGCTCTCACATCTTGTAAATAGGGAACACAATGCCCATCACACTGAAAGGGTTCTTCTACTGAGGATATTTCCCAGAGCTCCTTTCATGTCCTGATTCCTCAGACTATAGATAAAGGGATTTGACATGGGTATGACAAGAGTGTACATCACAGCAACAAAAACATCCTTATCATTAGTGTTATTGGATGAGGGGGCAAAGTATAACCCAATAATTGTTCCATAGTATAAGGAAACTGCACAGAGATGAGAGCCACAAGTAGACACTGCTTTTAAGAGTCCTCTGACAGAGGAAGATTTCAGAATGGTGGCCCCAATGTGGCCATAAGAGACCAGAATACATATGAATGGCAGGGTGACAACCACCATTCCTTCAGTGAGGATAACCAGCTCATTTATACTGGTGTCTGAGCTGGACAACTTAAGTAAAGCAGAGAGGTCACAGAAGAAGTGGGGCAGAATGTTGTCTCTAAAGAAAGTGAGATGGGCTAGAAGGAGGGTGTGTAGGAGGGCACTGGCACAAGATAAGACCCAGGACACAATTACTAACAGGGAACATAGGGTCTGACTCATGATGGTCATATAGTGCAAGGGGTGACAAATGGCCATATATCTGTCATAAGCCATTGAGGTGAGAAGAAAGTTGTCAATACACCCAAACAACAAGAAAAAGTATACCTGGGAAATGCACATAGCATAGGAGATGGATTGACTCTGTGTCAGCATATTCATGAGCATCTTTGGAGCTGTGACTGATGAGAAAGAGATGTCAGTGAAGGCCAAGTGGCTGAGGAAGAAGTACATGGGGGTGTGGAGGTGAGAGTCCAGCCTGATGAGCAGAATAATGAGCAGGTTCCCCAGCACTGTGGTCAGGTACATGGCCAGGAACAGGGCATAGAACATGGCTTGTTCTTCTGGTCGGATGGGGAGCCCCAGGAGGATGAATTCAGACACACTGCTCTGATTATCTCTCTTCATGCTCTTCTAGATCTCTTTGCTGGAAATGAAAAAATAGAACATGAAAAACTGAAGTTATTGTACCTGCTAAGTAACAAAAACATGGTTTTGAACTAGTCAGTGAGTTCATTTTAACCTGCATGTCTCAAACTTTTGGACACACTAACGGGCTAGTATTGGCATGGGCTTCTATGATCTTAGGAATCAACTCAACAGGGTTTTCAAAATCCATAAAACATTGCTGTAATAATCATATCAGATCAGGTTCAAACCCAAGGAATCCAGGAGTCCCTAACAGAAAACTGAGACTAGGGAATGAGTTTGCAAAGCCAGGTCTGGAATTAATTATTAGAAAAACTAGTAGTTTACCTATTGGCCTGGCTTAACTTCCCACAATCCACTGAAATACATTTTGGACATTTTTCTGGGGAGAAAGTTGTTTTTGCTGTTACTGGGGACCGAACTCAGGGTCCTCTGCATGTTAGGCAATTGTTCTACCACTGGAACCACACCTCCATTCTGAAATATACTTGATTAACACTTTATTTCCATACACTGAATCAAGGTGATAGAACACAATGGTCTGCTTTGAATCTCCATGATATCACAATCTGGAAGCTTGTTGGAAGTATCATATGTAGCAGGTCAAGGCAAAGGCAATAACATAAAATCCAGGTCAATAACATAAAATAATTGTGGCATATCTTGTCATACAGTCATCAGTTCTTCCTTTTGGAAAATTCTTTCCCATTCATAGTTTCAGTCTTCCATCACCCTTTGTAAAAAAAATTTTTCTGGAATGTGGAAGAAAATATCTCTGCTAATATTGCAACTTTCTACTTTATATTTTCTCTGCGATCAAACCAAGTTGTTCTTAATAAGTATGTAGAACACCAGGAAATACTCAACTTTTCAGTCACATATAGGATCTAACAAAAAAGAGGTTCTTTGTAAAAATGTATCTCTTGTAAAATAAAATAATTTCTCCAAAGTTTTATTTCAAACCTTGATTTTATAACAGTGATCTTTAACTGATAATCTTCTCATCACATTTTTGCTATCTCTTATGCCTTGTAAAAACTCCAGTTCTCCTCTTTATCCTTCAAATTAGTTGTTCATAGTCCTACTCATATAAACAATCAGCATGATAGGGAAAGAACATAGTAAGGCTGTACTAAAAATGGCATACATATTTTGCACAATCTTTTTCAATGTGAATGTCTTGGTTTATTAGTGCTGTAATATGTCACTATCTGATACATCACTCATTTGGGGGGTTGACTAAAGTTAGTAGTAATGTAAATACTCTACTAACTTGATCAAAATTATCTTGAAATTTCACATATTCTTTGGTTCACTGTATTCAAAATCCTTTGATGCAATTACTTGAGATGGATTATACTTTTATTTATGTCACTTATTTCCATGTTAGTAAAAATCAGCTTATACCAATTGATATGGCATTAGCTGTCTGATAGGCAATATTATTTTATTTCCAGAAGTACTTCAGTAAATAACATCATTCATATGTCCTTATGTTTACTAGCATATATATTTACATGCTAAATGGGATAGAATCAATATTCATGATTTTGATAAATTGTAAAGTTAAGAGACTAAGGTGATAGGTAGCACATTTTCTGTGTTCTTTAAAACAATTCTTAATATAAGAATCTACCACAGAAGGTTGTGAAAATGGGTATTTTAGTTAAGTGTTTGCAGAGGACAGGGCTAAGACACTTGAGGAACAGAGAAATATTTAATTCCACAGTTATCAATGGAAAGATACATATTATAGAATTATTGAGAAGCTGTCACATGTAAGGCCTTTTCTGCTGTAATAGAATGAAACATTCTACTGTAATATACACAAGAAAAAGTTTAAATAAAGAAGTGACTAAAAGTTTTCAAACAGCTTTTTATCTACTGAGTAGACAGCAAGAGTATAACACAAATCTAAATGATGGGGTACTGTAGTAATTTAGCTACAAATAATATCTGCTTCCACCTGGATTGATGCAGTGGAGATGAATAAAATAATAGGGATACAGAATAAAATTTGGAACAAAATCCAACAAGACTTAAAGCAGATTAAACATAACCAAAAAGAGGAAAGTTTCTGCTAATCCTCTCAAAACTTAGCTAGATAGTCATGATAAATTATAAAACATGGAGTTATCTCTCATACTAAGGTAAAGAAGTGAAGAATCCAGCTATAAAAGCCACACACTGAATGCATCACACACACACACACACACACACACTCCATACATTAATACTAATGAGTATAAATTCTACTCCTTGTCTGAGAGGGCCCCTTAGATGAGGAGCATAGATACCTTCAGCTACAAGGCGTGAGAAAGTTCTGTCTAGAAGGTATGGAATTGAATGAAGCAGGTGGATCTCTAAGATGCTCAAAGTTTGAGTCTGAGCAGCAAAAGTTCATCAGTTAAGAAACTAACAAGAGATATATGTGGACATAGTTCAGAGTTTTTGAGAACTCAGTGTGAGTTTTGATTTGAAAACCATGGAGAGGACCCAGAGGCAACCATCCATTACCACATCCAAGTTAAAGACAAACTGGGTATGATTGAATCACTTTCTTAGGATTCCCTGGGGTAGAACTGCTTGTTGGAGAAGATATGGAGAGTTTACCCTTGAGGAATAATGATAATAACCACAATGCAGTTATGAAATTGGTGATTCACAAAGCTTCTCTTTTCCCTGGTTAATAAAGAGCAAAAGGGGACCAGAGTCAATAATGCACCAAAGAGATGTTTGTGATAATGAAAGCCTCTAGATTCTAAACCCCATGCTATTTTAAGTACATCAGAAACCCTCTAACACCTTCACTCTCTGGCCAAAAGTGTTAGGGAAATTGTAGTTCAGCATCACTACTACACTTGGGGGAATGGACTATAGAGTCTTATGAATCTCATTTTCATGCCCCAAATCTATTCAGTTCCCATTCTTTTGGTGAATGGTGTTACAATACCCTAAAATAACATTTAACGTATACTTTCCACTCAACCTCTTACAAGATTGTTCCCAAATTTATTCCATATACCTCCAGCTCCATAAACGTAATGCCTAGCTGAAAAGGAGATGTCATGTGTTCATTATTATAAGGTGAAGATATGTGAATATTTATAAATGACTCTGGTTATATTAAAAATAAACTTTTACTGTTAACTGCTGTTTGGGTGAAGAAATTCTATAAGAAGTTTAGATTGGCTTCTGGGTATTATAGATTAAGTTGATCACCTGTTACCCTGATTAAAGTGCTATAATTGATCTGTCTGCTCAAAAATGTCAACAATTGACAAAACTTTCTTTTCAAATCAGAAAAATACCATTGGCACCTTACTCTTTCCCTATATGTATGAAGACAAAAATAAAGTATGACTGCACAATTTCTCATTCAAGTAAGCTGTAAGAAAAAAAAGATCTCTTAAACAAATGCCATTACTATTCCCTAGGTACCGAATACCATTTCATAGAAGACCTTCATCTTTTCTCACCAATTTTCTCAACCATTTCTGAGTTCTGTTCCTAACATGTCTCCTTCAAAAGCTTATTATTTAATAACAAAGTATACTCACATATACGAACACCACAAAATCAACATATAGGCAAATAATATTAACAAGGATGTCAGAGAATAGAACTATAAACAGTCTAATCACCACATAAAAACTGTTCACCTCAGTAATAGTGAGGGATCAACAAATTAAAGTTCACTAAGGTTCCATTATGTATCAAGAGGTTGATAAAGTTATATTTGAGAATGGTCTCTGTTGAAAATAATGTATTTTAACTGGAAGTGTTTATCACTTTTGCTAAGACAAATATGTCTTATGGTAAAAATGTACATTGTTATGGTCCAGATGTATACTGCAAAGATATCTTGCACATGTACAACTGGAGACATAAATGAGAAGATTCACAGCAACATGGTTCACAATGGCAGAAAATGGAGGCAAAGTTTAAAAGTAACTAATTTGCACTTTTTTCATGAAGAAAATTATAGAGCAATTATATGTTATACCATAGATGAATTGAGAACATATATTAATGGAAAGGAATAAAAGCAAGATTCTGACAATATAACAAAACATGGAAACAAAACAAAGATTTACATGTATATACATTTCTATGTGCTGAATATTTGTGTCATCCTACAAATTTGTATGTTGAGGGTTTAACCCCTAGTGTAGCCATACTTAGTGATAGGGTCACTAATCAACTAATTAATGCTAAGTGAAACATAAGATGGGAGACCAATAGGTTTCATATTTGAGAAATGACTCTTCCCCTTCCCATTTGTCTTTGTCTACCATGTGAGGTCATAGCAAGAAGATGGACAGCTGCAATCCAGGGATTAATTACTATCCTCTTTTTTCCTCATTGAAGCATAAACTTCTTGAAAACATGGAAAGGTTGTATCTACTCTTTTCATTGCACTGTACTGGCTGCAGTAGGACAGTCCATGAGTATTGGACAGGTGAAACAAAGCATGGAGTCTATTGTACGGTTTTGCTTTCACAAAACCCTAGTGACATCTCAACTTACAATTATGGGACAAGGACCTATCACATTCTGTATGTGGCATGAGTGGATCTGGTATTTCCATCGACACTATTCAAGTAAAAGGCACGGGCATGGCTTACTACAGCCTCACATGCGTTTGGACATGCAGGACTGAATTTTCAGGATGATCACAGAGAAGCTTGCGCAATCAATCTGCTGGAGTCCATGTGGGGTAGGTGGATGCTACAACACTGGATTTAGTCAGATCTGGAATTTCTGAAAGTTATTCTCCAAGAATTTATACCTGGGTTCTCTATTAAGTTCCATTCACATACTTATTTCTTTTCAGGTGAAAAATAGCTATATAGCATGTTTTGAATGGGAGTATTGTGATGGAAGTATTGTGATACCTTTCACTATTATAGATCTTTTGTGGTTTTTACATGAATTTTGGAGTGTTTTTCCTATTTCTGTGAGAAATAACATTGGCA